GCAAAAAGAAAAGGAGTACTTGTGGCACCTTAGAGACTAACCAATTTATTTGAGCATGAGCTTTCGTGAGCTACAGCTCACTTCATCGGATGCATCGGATTTTAAGAAGTGTTTGTCGCTCAGTGAACTAGGCAGAATGAGTTCTTTTCTTGCTACTGGTTTAACATACAAAATGCATTTGGTAACAGTGAGCTTTTTTGGTTGATACTGTTTGAGGGCTGCATAATCCTATCTAAGGTATTTACATGGCTCCCATTAGCACAGTGTGAGCAACAATCTTTAATGTAGTTATCCTCACAACACTCCTCTAATGTTGGGAGGGCCTATGACTAGAGAGACTAAGCATATATTAGAGCAAAGAATTGCACCCAAGTCCAAGACTAGTGCTCTAACCACTGGACCCTACCATTACTGGTACTCTCTAGTCTAGGCACACTGGGCAGGTATTCCATTTTGCTAACCTACAGGTCCCAAGCACAAACCTACTTTGCTCTTTTTAGAACACTCTTTGCTGTAGTTTTCAGTCAGTGCTCTAGCTATAGTAGATATTTTGTTAGTGCCCATTATTGTAGTATCAAAACACTTCCCCCCCCCCCCGTCGTCTTTATACTGTGAATCTTTATCTCCTTAACCCGCTGACAGAGGCTGCTAGTCTAGAACAAAGCATAATGATATGGGTCAGAGCCCAAAAGAACAGAAAGGAGACAGTGAATGGGGATAATTTTGATATTTGGATCTTACGACGTTTCCCTTAATATAAACAGCAGCTGAAAATGGCTGACAAAGCTAAATAATACTGTTTAGTAAGCCCTTGTAAGATGAAGCCTAAATGCTAGAAAGCAAACACTGCCCGAGTCTGTATCATGGATGTAAGCATAGGAGCAGTGGGCTCAGACATGAGGGGGTGGGAAGAAGTGTGTTGACTTTAGTGTCTTTCCTTTTCTGTCCACACTGTGTTGGAATTTTCTCCTGCATAATATCTAATCTGCCAATGTTTTCTGGACCCACGCCGTTTAAACTTTGACTTTGAGTATAAATCTATTAGCTGAAAGGAGTAAATCTCTAATTTTGCTTTTAAAACAAAGGTGTGTGTTGTGTTTTTTTTTTTTAAAAGAACTATACAAAAAAATCCCTACTGGGATGGTTTGAGGGAGGGATTGGAGGTAACTGTATAAAGAGACCCATCTAATTAAAGCAGTGAAGAAATGGATAGATTAGTTAATGAGGCAGAAAATACAACTAATGCAGTTATTTGAAAAAAAATATACTTCCCACAATATCTTGTGATGGGGAATGGAAGGTGGAAAATAATAGTCCATATTTGGACTCTTGAGCTAACTCACACAAGGTGAAATCCAGGCCTAACTGAAATCAATGGAAATTTTGCCCCTGACTTAAGTCAGGACAGGATTTTTATCTGTAGTGTTTGGGTGGATTTTACTACAAAAGGTGACTACAGCCTACAGGGGAGAAATGAGTGAATGACACACTATGGTATTTATCTTTTTTGTGTATGTATTGTCTTAGTGTTAACATGTACGGTTAAAATCTCAAATCCTCAGGCGCTAATCCAAATTAATTGTTCTCGGAGCCAAAACTATAGCTATGGGGTATTAGTTGTGCCTCTGATGTAACCCTTTCCATTGGAGGGGCTCATTTTTATAAGTGACCTATCCTCCATTTTTAACTCCTGATTCAAACACACATCACAACTATGTACATGCAGAAATATATTTTAATACCACATGAAGGGAAGAGAAATGGTAAATTCTGAGACAGCACCTGCCTTCACTGTCCAGTTGGTGTATTCTAAACTTAGAAAATAAATGGGAGGAAAGGGGGGAAAAATAATCTTTCCTGTGAGGCTGCTGGGCCAGGAGCCATATTAGCTCTCCTTGTCACAATGTTTGTGTGTAACTAAATGCATAACTTCAACAGGCTCGGAAAATATAATTTCGATCAGTCCTACAACAACAGGGCATGTACTGAAATAGAAGGAAAAATACACAACATGGGTTGAAACTACTTATCAGAAGGAGGCGAGATACACAGCCACCCATGTGGGCCAACTCCATGAGTGCTCTTGGGCTCAAGCACCCACTGAAAAAAAATTAGGGGCTGTTTAGCACACACAGGGCCAGATCAATCTTTTGTGGGCCGCAGTGCCCAGACCAGCTCCCTCCCCTTTTCCCCCACTCTGCGCTCTGAGATCCCACCCCCACTCTTCCCCCACTCCCAAGACTCCACCTCTGCACCAAGGCCCCACCCTCACTCGGCCGCTTCCTCCCAAGGCCTCACCCGCTGCCCGCAAGGGGTGGAGTGGAGCACCCACTGGCAAAACCAAAAGTCAGCGCCTGTGCAGCCACCAGTCTCAAAATTGTTGCTTTAAAGGCACAGCATGTATGTTTTTGCCTATGTTTTTGCCAAATGTAAAGGGCCAGTCCATTTCCACCACCAAGGCATGCTAGGAAAAAGTACCTGTAAGATGGCAGACTGAGGCAAGTCAGTAGAGAATGGGTAGTGACTGAGAGTCTTGGAGGGGACTGCTTCTCTTTATGTCACTACCAGATAACAAGGAGAAAAAGTCTTTTTCAAAAAAAGAGGGAAGACAGCAGCTGGTGGAGTGACAAGAACCCTAATCTATTAGTTTTATATAATGACCCAGCAGAGGTTACCTGGTGTGCAGTTTTCCAGAACCTTCTACGTGGAAGTGGTCTCCAGCCTCAAGCAGCTTACTGGCAGGACCTATCAAAGTCCCTCATCCCAGGAATTTCTTCCCCTCTGAATCAGCCCAGTAGCAGGGGTATTAGCCTTTGCTGTTCTTCCTCCCCCCCAAAACTCAGGACACTGATATTTTCTTTCTATGATTCTCTCCTCAGTCTCCTTTGTGAAGTTTGACCCTGGTCTGTGTGGGCCTCTCCTTTGTCCAACTCCTACTTTATTTCTTGCTTCTCTTTTCACTGCTGAGTGTTCCCCAGCTTCCTTTGAATGTTCTGGTTTGTTTCAGTTTTCTTTCCTGCTCTTCCACATTTCACCTGTCTTCTCCCTAAAATCTAGCATTCACCTGAAAGGATGGCTTTTCCCCCCACTGTTTTCTGCCCCCTTCTCTGCTTTCCCTTTACAGCTCCTCATCTTCCTTCCCCAATTATTGTCACCCCATTTCTTTAGCGCTCTGTTCTCCTTTCTTCCTGAATTCTTTTCCTTCTGCTTACTTCCCTAGCTGGCCTTGTGTGCTCTCCCTTTCCTAGTTACATTTACTCCTCCCTGCCTACTTTCTCCAATTTCTCTGGTGGGGCCTATGGAGTCTCCTCTAGCACTGAGCTCGAGTGGTATAGTAGAGAGAGCCTGAAGCATGGGCCTGGTGCAAGGCCCGCAGGTGCTAAGCCCATGCTTCAGACTCTTCTTCTACTACAAGTGGCTAGAAAATATCTGTGTTGGGGATGGGAACCCAAAGATCAGCTGCCATCATGGAAGGTGCTTCCTGCTGCAGTGACTGGACATGAAACTGGCAGATGAAATTCAATGTTGATAAATGCAAAGTAATGCACATTGGAAAAATGTAATCCCAACTATACATACAAAATGATGGTCTAAATTAGCTGTTACCACTCAAGAAGGAGATCTTGGAGTTCTGACAACATCTGCTCAATGTGCAGTGGCAGTCAAAGCTAACAAATGTTTAGGAACCATTAGGAAAGTGATAGATAAGACAAAATATCATAATGCCACTATATATCCATGGTATACCCACACCCTGAATACTGTGTGCAGAGCTGGTCATCCCGTCTCAAAAAAGATATTAAAATTGGAAAAAGTACAGAGAAGGGCAAGAAAAATGATTAATGGTATAGATCAGCTTCCATATATGGGGAGTTTTAAAAGACTGGGCCTGTTCAGCTTGGAAAAGCGATAACTGAGGCAGGATGCGGTAGAGGTCTGTAAAATCATGAATGGTGTGGAGAAAGAGAATAGGGAACTGTTATTTACGCCCTCACATACCACATGAACCAGGGGTCACCCAATGAAATGAATAGGCAGCAAGTTTAAAACATACATGAGGAAGTGCTTTACAAATCTCCAGTCAGCCTGTGAAACTCGTTGCCAGGAGACATGAAGAGCAAAAGTATAACTGGGTCAAAAAAGAATTAGATAAATTCATGCAGGACAAGTCCATCAGGGTCTGTCATCCCAGATGGTCAGGGATGCAACTCCATGCTGTGGGTGCCCTTAAACCCCTTGCTTCTAGAAGTTGGGATTCGACAACAGGGGGATGGATCACTCGATAATTGTCCTGTGCCTCTGAAGCATCTGGCACCAGCCACTGTCTGAAAACATGGACCATTCATCTGACCCAGTATGGCCATTCTTATGCTTTGTATTTAGTCACCAGAGGCCCTTGCCATGAATGAGTGCCCTTCCCCCCACCCCAACAAAATGTGACAAAGGGACAGGTGTTAGCCTGACACTTGAAAAATCACCCAAATCCAAACAACTGTCCCTCTGAAATAAAATATTCCCCAAAGAAACCTGAGAGACAAGGTGGGTGAGGAAATATCTTTTATTGGACCCAACATCTTTGTGAAAGAGACAAGCTTACACAGAGCTCTTCTTCAGAAATCTGTCAACTTTAGTACTAATCTTCCCCCCAGTTCAACTGATGTACTCTTAAGTGATAGTACCCAAAGACATAGCTAGTTTATTAATTGTCTGTGAAGATTGTTTTAAGCAGTGTTGATAGAGAAACAGTGTGAACATTTGGAGTTCTTGGTTCACAAGGGCCTGTACCTCCCAGTGTTTTTAAAAACCCAACAAAACATGGACCAATTTATCTGTGAACTAGTTGCAGGAAACTGAGAAATAAGCACAATCAGAAGTAAAGATTTTTTTGACAGGTTTAATCTTAAGCAAGATGTTTACAAAACAAAATAGGATGCACCATGCGTGTACTCTTGAGAACCCATTTGTTTGATTCTAAAGCCTCTTTTGTCCTTTTTAAAAAGGTTTCCAGCATTGGATTGTCTTCTTGGGCAAATTGTCACCAATGGCAGTAAAACTTGTTTTCCAGCATTCTGGGTGAGTTTGTTTTCTGTGTTGTTGATTGATTCTATGATTACATTTGAATCTAAAGACATTTTAAGAACAGTATCTTTCATTTTTGTACCAAATCTGTTATTCATGGTGGGGAAGAATGGGGAACCTTTCAACAATTCTTGTAAACAGTACAGTAGTTGAAAGAGGTGACTTGAAAGCATAATTAAAAGTGAGACTTATACCAGTAGAAACTGTCAAGCATAAATAGAAATAAATGTTCACAATATTTCTTACTGTGTCTAGCAGTTATACTATATTGATAGTAAATACGATATTCATGTCTAAACCAAGCTTTGCTCCTTCACTACCTAGTTTCTCTTCTGGTTTGATTCTTGTAACAGAGTGCACTCACCTCTCATGAGTGTCTTCTGCTGGGGGTGAGTGAACCTGTGCGCTCGCTCTTTGCTCCTGGTGCCCCCGGTTGGCAGTTAACTCGTCAAGTGGGTCTTCAATGGCTCAGCCCTCCAGCTAAGTCACACATATTCTAAACATATGAAGGAACCCCTTCCAGGGTAAAAGATCCAACAGAGCCTGTCCCTGTGCCCTTGGTTATGTCTGCAGCTGTCTTTGGGCTCAGTTGTCAGCCCCAGCTGGGCTAGCTCTAAGACTACCCCTGCCCTATTATAGAGCAGCATCCCCAGGGCTTTCTTCATGGAGACTCTTTGTCCTCGGCAGTTCTCACTTACTCAGGCCTCCAGCCAGGTCACCTCTCACATTGTCCCCTTCTGGGGGTGGGGGTGGGGGTAACAGAGCTCAACAAACGGTTGGGACAACCTTATGGTTGGTATTCTAAATGAAACTTGTCCCCTCCTTGGGGCTTTGGCTACCCTGTCAGTGGCTTGCAGGGCAGAAGGGGCCAGGCCCACCCACTACTCTGGATCCCAACCCAGGGACTCTACAAATGGCAGCCACATGCTGCTTCCTTTAACTCAGTTGCCGCTGCTATTGCCTGAATCACTTCCCATGTAGCCCCTTCCTCTTCACCATTACCTCAGGGTTGAAGGTTCTCTGTCTGTTCTCTGCTTGAGCAGGGTCTCGCTGAGGCTGCCTCACCTGGAGAGTCACACAGCCTTCCTTGCCCTTCTGGTCCTAGCCAGCAACTGATCTGCTCAGCCCCTGCAGCTCCTTTTAACTGAGCCCTCTGCACTCTGATTGGCTGCTTCCCTGCAGTCTCTCTAGGCAATCAGGGAGGACCCACCTTCACTGTTCTTTTTCTGGGGTGAGGTTTGGTAGGACCATGAGGCCTCCAGCCGGGGGCCTTAAAGGGCCTGGTACACCCTGTCACAATTCTCTAGTGGAGTATTAAAGCCATTTGTGGGACAGTCACATAACCATGGTGGTAATGGTTTTTTGATGTTGTGGGGGAGAGGTGGCCATACTCTGATCTCAAAATCGTATGAGTGAAATTGTAACCTGCAGTTCCAGCTGATTTTTGGTGTGGCTTACACAGTTTTTGTACTGGTGTAAGTCAGTTTGCGGTACGATTATTTTTCCTGAAATGGTTATACCAGTAGTACCCCTACTGTGGATGTAGTTACACTGCTATAGCCTGTTCCCCTTCCCGTATAGGAATAAGCTATACCGGTATAAACATTTGTACTTGTATAACTGCATCCACACTGGTGTGGGGAGGGGTTCTACAATTTTATCTATACCAGTATAGTTAAAGCAGTACAACTTTTGTGTGAAGAGAAGGTCTTCAGTTAGACTTGCACGTGTATATCTGAGAAAATGGCCTGATACTGCATGGGAATGGGAGCTTGCTATGGATTGGACCTGGAATTTGGCCCATGATTATGACTTTGCTTCAGAGCCAAAGGGAAGATGCACTTAACTGCAATAGGGAGGGGAAAACAGAAAAAAGTGCACGTGAAATACACTTCCTTTTGTATAAATGTCCTTGTCTTTCCCAGTTTGCTTCAATAATCTTCAGTGTTTGGCTGAAAATGATGCGGTCCATAGCAGGACTACGGTAGATAGCACTGCTCTATTAACTTTATATGTTTTTAATTTTTGTATAACCATGCTTAAAGGAGATAAGAAAATATAAACAGGCGAGGGATTAGTTTCTCCAGTTGTCCCCTTCTAAATGCCATAATTAAGATGTTCCCGCTCATTAATAAAGTCCTCTAAGTTTCACTGTTAACAGGCATCAAATGGTTTCATTAATTTAATGCATTTGGTTCCATTTTTATGAATTAATCTGTTGGTGGTATTTAAAGTATGGCATTTGAAAAGCTGAATCTGAAGTTTGATTCCTCTCAGAATGATTAAACCAAGAGGATGATTCTTCGACCAAAGAGTACCAGCTGAAAAAGTCTGAGGAATCTTTTAAATGAATTTGCTACATGTAATGAGATTTTCAGGAATATTCAGCGTGTGAAAACCCTTTGAATACTTCAGTGAGTTTTTTAAGAAGAAAATTGCAAAATTAATAGAGGTCAAATAGAGCAACAGATATCAGGCAGTGCCTCAGAATATGAATGCTTTCTGCAAATCTAGAAAAGTGGACATTTCATTTAGGAGACTGAGTTATTGATCTCCTAAAATGTATTGTTTCAAGGGGAACAGGACCAAAGTGCGTATATGAAGGAATAAAGTGGCACTTATTTTTCTGTATGGATCTTAGAGAATTGTGTGGCAGGGTAACAGGTCCCTTTGTATTTCCCAGAGCCCGAGTGAGTCCTATTTGGACAACAGCATAATTCAAGAAGTCTGTGTATCAAAACCAGGATTTTTTTCTTGTCAATGGTTTAAAGAAATATGACCTTGTTTTAACAATTGAATTTTGTTACAATACATGACTGACACAACTGCATATAATAGGAAGTAACTTGAAACATCACCAAAGAAATATGATGGGATTATAACAGTCCTTTTTTTTTTTTTTTTTTTTAAAGTAATAGGTCATCATGGTGCTTGCATACAAGGATTTGGGTCAAATGTTTAATACTGTTCCTATACCTTTGTATAATTAGCTGGTAGAATGAGTCAAAGATGAATGGCTTTTTGCTACTGTTGCAATTAAAAGCAGATACTCCAGCAAGCAATCTGATAACACTTTACAGAGTCATCCTGTTAATTAATGCTGGATTACAGTAGAAATCCTACTGAAGTACTTACAGCACCATCGATATGTCAGATGGATTAATCATGATTAAATTTATTGCATTAAATACCAAAGGGATTAATAATGTCTGGGTCTTTATATCCTGGATTCATAGGTTTTTAAGGCTAAAAGGGAACATTATTATCATCCAGTCTGACCTCCTGCATAATGTATGTCAAAGGAACTCACCCAATAATTTCTGCATGGAGCCCTTCACTTCTGTTTGAGCCATAGCATATTTTTTAGAAAGATATCTGATCTTTAAATCAAGACTTCAAATGATGGCGAGTCCACCAGGTCCCTAGGTTAGTTGTTCCAATTGTTAACAATCTGGCTGTTTTAAAGAAAAAAAAAAAAAGAGAGAGTGAGAGAGAGAGAATGAAAATTGCTCCTTATTTCTAGTCTGAATTTTCTTTCTTCAGCTTCCAACCACTGTTCCTTTTTTCATCACACTATTCCTTCCCCCCCCCGCTAGTTTAAAGAGCTGTCTACTGTTAGAAGTAAATGAATGTCGATTACTCATTTACAATGACTTTTTGCAGTCTATCAGTTAACCCAGTTTTCAATTCATTTAATATGGGCTCCACTGATTTGGCATAGTACAGTTTTTTAATCAGAATGTCACATGAAACTAAGGGTATGTCTACACTTAAAAGCCACAGTGCTACAGCTGTAGTGTTTCAGTGTAGGCACTACCTATATCAAGGCTAGGGGTTCTCCCATCAGCACAGGTAATCCACCTCACTGAGAGGCCATTGCTAGATTGGAATTCTTCCACTGACCTCGCCCTTTCGTTACAGGGGTTAGCTTGTCATAACTACGTCTCTCAAGATGTGGATTTTTCCTGAGAGACAAAGCTATGCTGATGTAAGTTCCCGGGGTAGACCAGTCCTTAGTCAAATGCCTTACTGAAGTCTAAGTATATTTAAATCCATACAGTTACCTTCCTACTTCAGAGTGATACCAGTCATTGTAGTTAGCAAATTTCTAAAGAAATAGGTTTAGCTTGACCTTTTTAAAAACTAAGGAAGTTATTCAAACAATCCTGGCCATATTGGTGAAAATGTCATTATAGTTAGCTCCATAGTATACAGTCAAATTTTATACTTTTTGACATTGGAGTGCTGTTGCTAGCCATTGAGAGCTTGATTCTGCAGACTTCTGAGTCCATATGGCCTTTCGCAAGTCTGAGGTCATTACTGTGCTGCCATACAGCTGTAGTTGAGAACAGAGAATGTACATTTCATGAAGTGGAGGTCTCTTTGTGTGTTGGCTTTGGAGATAACTTTCTACGGCAGCTGGTCCTTGAGACAGAAAGGACAATAGCCAGGGTCAAAAGTTGATATCTCTTTCCAGCAGTAGGTTGTGCAAAAGAGACTTAAAACAATTGGAGAAGATCCTTCTACTAGTAATCCAAATTACTAATAAAAAAATACCCAAAGAGTGAAAAGCAGCAGTCACCTAGGCTTAGATCCTCAAAGATATTTAGGTGCATACTTCCCATTGAATGAATGAGAGTTAAGCACCTAAATAATTTCTAGGGCCCAGATCATCAAAGGTAACTTCCCACACTCTTTGAAACAAGTTAAGGCATGTCTGATGTGACTTGTCAATGTGCTGTGTCCCTTTCTCTCTTTCACCTGGATCCTGACTGCTACTGGTGCTGTGTCCCCTGGCATAGTCTAGTCATGGTAAGTGATTATAGGGAGCTGTGAATAAAGAAAATTAATTTGGTCCAGGTCTCCACATGTGAATGCCTGAGCCACAATCACACTATCAAGGTTTTTATTCCATACTCATCACTATAGTATCTGAATGCCTCTCATCTCTTTGTGCAGAGGAATTAGAGAGTGGCCTTCTATGGCAGTTTGGA